AGGGTTATTTGGGAGTCGCTCGGTCCGTGGGGATGGATGGACTCAAGTGGGGTGGATTGAAGGTGAGGAAGCTCGCTCAACCCACGAGGATGAGTCGAGTCGAGTCGAGTGGGGTTTGGGTAGGAATGGTTGATTGGAATGAGACGGGATAGCAATGATGGGTGGCTCTTATTGTGGTGGGCTTTCTATTAATTGGATGTCTTGATCTCGTGCCTGAAGCGAGTCAACCAAGAGTGGCTCTATTGGCAGTCCCTGCTTAATTGGATTCAGGGCTGAATCATCCACTAGTGATGAATGGAGTTGTCAGACCTTGTATCCGAGATCGTTGGTCTATGATCTGGAGTCTGGAGAGGTTGTATGGATGGAACTGATGCGCAGAAACGATTGAGTTGTACTTGAAAAGGCTAAAGCTCAAGGTCATAAAATTGATTACCTTCTCTTTCATAGAGTAGTTTTCGGCCCGGATGGATGCATTTTCGTTCCGGATGGATCTTCAAATCCTGGTAGGACTGTGAGTCCTTGTAGTTGAGGTTTTGTGAAAAAGGAGAACCTTTGGCTCCTTTACCTCAGTAGGAAAGGGAGTCCCAGCGAGTCTAAGACACGGATCTTAGATGAATTAGGATAGTGATTGACCTTTTCGATAGAGTTCAGGTAATATTAGGGTAAATATGCGACCTTGGGCCCCAACTAGATCATAAGTCCAGAAGGTGGTCTAGGATCACAGCGTCTGGGCCTAGATAAACCGGCGATGAGGCCTAAACGAACTTTTTCTCTGCTAATTGGATCTAAGTACTAGGCAATTAGGTAGGTGTACCGAATGGACCTAATGGGTGAAATTGGTTGCGGGCCCAATCAGAATTGGGCCATGACTTCGAGCATTGTTGAAGGTGTCTTCATCTTTGGGCCTATTTGGGCCGAAGACATTTTTTGGCCCTAACAGTTACAATACAGGGACTAAAGTGTTATATAGAAAAATTGAGGTGGGCAGAAAGGAAAACTAAATTTGTATGGGGTAAAACGACATTTTTTATTACAATTTTTTTTTTTTTTTAATAGGCCTAGGGGGGCAATGGCCCAAACCAGCGAGCGGTTTCACCATATTGGACTTTGTGAAACTCAAGTCAATGGAGAGCTTATGAGAAGCTTCAATGAAGATTAAAAGTATGGATCAATGGAAAACAAACTTCAACGTGTGTAGCGTTTTTAGAGAGTATATGGACAAGAAGAGGGGGAAACCTTAATGAATGAACGAATCGCTTAAAATAACTTACCATAACTTAGGATTGCTTTACAAACAAACATGTTATTTATATACCTTTAGGGTGTGTTTTTGGCCAAATTCATGGTGGATCTAGCCAGATTAGCGCACGATTGACTAGGTCAGGCTAGGGGTGCTTAACAGGCTTAGCCGCTCGCGAGCCAGCTCGACTCGGCTAGAGTCTGGCTTGTTAACGGCTCGGCTCGTTATATAACGAGGCGGCTCGGCTCGGTTCTTGAGCCAAAACGAGCCAAGTTCGAGCCATGCCCGACTCGGCTCGTTAGGCTTGCAAGCCAAGCCTGGCTAAAAAAAAAATTGATTTTTTCCTAAAAAAATTGAATTTTTGAGAGTTGGCTCGCGAGCCAGCTCGAACTCAGCTCGATAAGCCGGCTTGCGAGCTGGCTCGATATATCTTAGACTCTTTTCCGAGCTGAGCCGAGCCGCAAATTTCATGGCTCGGCTCGGCTCGATTAATCTTCTTCTCTCATGAGCCGAGCTCGTTAAGCAGAAAACTCGGCTCGGCTCGGCTCGTTAACGCCCCTAGATCCAGCTAGTTGTGTGTCGTTCCAGCCACATCAGTCAGCGGTGGCAAGTGATCGATGATGATTATTGGCAGGCGATGGGGGGTTTCAGGTGGCCTACAATTTGTTTTAAATATAAGGGCATTACTATCAACAAACTTAATTAATTGGGGGTCAAATTGTAATGACAGATTCATGTAATTAATTTCAAAATGAGGGTATTATTGTCCAAAGTTTTTATTAATAAGGGGTAAAATTGTAACAAAATTAACATTACTAAGTAATCTTAAAATACCTAAGAAAATTAAGGTAATTAGTTTACCACCTAATCAAATTTAGCAATTAAGGACAAGTTCTTTGCTTTAGAGGTGCTGATCGGTCTTCCAGAGGAAGGGATTTTTGTACACTTATTACCAATAGTAATTACTATTTGTTTTGAAAGATTTTCAGAACCTTATATTATTTATGAAACGATCATATGATATAATAAGCCTTTAATATGATCATTTGTGCCACTACCTAATTGGCTCTGATGCTATTTGTAAGAAATTTTAAAATAACATACCATATAATACCAATGTTATCAAGCTCGTAACTCAAGAGAGAGGAAAAAAACCTGTCGTCACATTATTTTCTTCTCACACATAAACTAACAAACACGATTCTTTACACTGAAGTAAACCCTAATTCTGATTAGACTAGCTAGAAATGCTAACATTAAACAATTAAACCAAATACTAAAATTCTTCTATTTAGATAACATTATTCTCAATGGAGATAACACTAAAAATAAGACTTCTAATAAAATTGATATGCTTGATTTAATTTCCAACAATACCTCCCTTAAATCAAGCTCTAATATTTAAGACTCCGTTTGGTTCATTATTTTGATAGTTTTTAGAATAATCTTTTGAAAAAAGTTAAATTGGGCGGGTATTACGATGTAGGATTTGGAAATTAATAAAAATATCTCCTATGTTTGTTTATTTACTAAACACCCCTATAATAAAATATTAAAAGTTAACAAAAACACCCCCAACCCACCAATTAAATACGGACAACTGGCCACCACCGCTGGAGGGTGGTCGGAGTGTTTTTGCAATTTCTAAAAAAAATATTTGGGGGTGTTTAGTTAAATTAACAAATTTAGGAGGTTTAAAAGAAATTGAAAAATATAGAATAATATTTTGGGAATAATGACATTTTACTGTTTAACTTTTTTGAGAATACTAATAATAGTATTCCCAAAAGCGAAACAAACGGAGCCTAAGCTTGTGGACTCGCCCACCCAAACTTTTGATGGCATTGTCTCTTTACTCTTGTGTCAATTCTGTTTGATCCAATATGCTCAATCCATTGGCATCACACTTTTATCTATAATAGAATAAATTAACAAGGTAAAAATTTTAATAAAAGTCATATGCTTGACTTAATTTCCAACAATACCTCTCTTAAATCAAGCTCTAAGATTTAAGCTCGTGGACTCGCCCACTTAATTTTTTTTTTTTTTCTGGCATGGTCTCTTTACTCTTGTGTCAATTTGCTTGACCTATTGTGCATGATGCATTGACATCACACATCTTGATTTACTAATCTATTGACATAGTTTGCATAGAACTAGGGTTTGACTCCTATATAAAGAAGTGTGTTTGTCAGTTTATATGTGAGAAGAAAAGAATGAGACAAGTTCCAAAAAGAATTTATTACAAGTTGTATTAGAGCCATATAGGCAAAAGAGATCATATCAAACGATCATATTAGAAGCCAGTTAGGCGTAGAGACGATTAGATAAAAAGCTAATTAGGTGTAAAGGTATCATTATGTCATAGATGATCAGTTTAAAAGCCAGTTAGGCAAAGGCATCATCATATTATGATAAGAAAAAAAGAAAAAAAGAAAAAAAAAAGTCAATTAAGAAGAATATTGACATCAACATTAGTTAGGCACGGTCATAGCCAAAAAGGCAAAAGGTCATCTGACGAAGCAACATCTGACAGATTGGCTAATACAAGCCATTCCGATGATAAATATGTTATAAAAATTCCCTGAGAAAGATGTAGAGATTATAATATGTTGAAAGATTCAAAGAAATATATTTAATATTTTGATCATGATATTTCCCTAATCAATGAGCAATTAGTATTGAACTTGCCAATAGTAATAACCAAAAGGTATGATTGAAAAGTAATTTAGAGAAAAGCAAGAAGAAACTAAAAAAAGGTAGATGATGATTTAGTTTAATTTTTTAATATTTTGTCAGAGTATTTAAATAAATTATTTTTGTACTTTAAGTTTTAATTGTATTTTTAATCATTTTATTGTGTATACACAACAACAAAATTTTGAGTATGTTAATGGTTCAACTCCTATTACAACCCCACTTCATTCCACACCCATTGGTTCATTCTAAACTACTTAGTCCAGATTTCAATAGTGAGTTGTGAGTCTCTAGTCTAGATTAAAGCGCTCATGAATTCCAAGAAGACAGAGGGCTGCTAAAATGCCAAATCCCTGAACAAACAAAAATATATAGACAATTCAATTTGAGCCTTCAATCCTCTGATTTATGCCAAAGGTTTATGGTTCATAGAAGTTATAAGTTCAACCAGACTCTTTTAGGACATGATTAGTTGCTCAATGATTGGTTCATAGCTCAAAATGCACTAATACATGTACATTGGATTCTAGAAATGATGGTTAATGTTTATATACAAAGGCTTACCTTGAGTGGGTTCACAAGAAACTAAAATGGCCTTTTACATGCATGAGAAAACGCATCCCAAGTCTAGTTTAAAAAATTGGTCTGAAATCCAATCAAACTCCTGCGCGCCGGCGATATGTCACACCTAAGGTGGGTGCAAATCGACTGATCTACCGATTTGGGCCTTCCATATAGTTTGGGCTTGACCTCTCTTTTTTTGGTCCCAGAGTTTGAATTCAAAATTGATCCAGTTTTTTATTAATAAAATCGATAACCGTTACCAGATATTATTGATCGTTACTGGTTTGTAAATCAATTGATTTTATTTTTATAGGTTTTTTTAATTCAATTTTCGTCAGTTATTTACAGAGTTAATGACAGAATTGTTAAAGGAGCTCTACAGCAGTTTGAGCTCAATTTTTTTTCTTTGTTCTTTTGCTGTTTTACTATTCTGTATTTGAGTGTGTGTATATATATGAAGAGGAACAATCTATCCAAGAACATGAATTGTTATATCGTATTATAGATCTCAAGTTAAATCTTAAATTTTTTATTCCAAATGATATATTAATAGCGATGCTGCATTACTTAAAGACGACAAATTTAGGACGAGAATATTTGAGATGTAAGTGAATCATAAAGAGTAAACATGAAGCGGCAGTCGAGGCTCAGGGACAGCAACAAGTGGAAATTTTCTTGGAGTTGATAGTCCAAAAATTTCCTCCATATCCAAATCCTCATGCTTCATATCACCTGGCAATTTCCATGCAAAACCATGTAAAAGATTAGCCAAATTTGATCGAATAACCTTGAGTCCTAGACTATAACCAGGGCACATTCTCCTCCCCGCACCAAATGGCAATAGCTCAAAATGATGTCCCATAACATCAATCTCCTTATTCTCCATGAACCTCTCAGGGCAAAATTCATCGGGTCGACTCCATACGGCGGGATCTCTCCCTATACTCCACACATTAACGAGCACACGAGTGTTCTTGAGGATGTCATAACCAGCAACATTGCAATCTTCTCTAGCTACTCGAGGTACCAACATTGGTGCCACAGGATGTAGACGCATTGTTTCTTTCACAATCGCATCTATGAATGGAAGATTACTAATGTCTTTTTCTTGTACTAATCTGTTTCTCCCAACAACTCTATCGAGCTCTTCAGTTGCTTTCTTGAAAATGTCTGGCTTTTTCAGAATCTCGGAAATTGCCCATTCTAGAGTCACCATTGAGCTCTCGGTTCCACCACCTAAAAGATCCTAAGGTAACGAAAAAAAGAAACAATAATAATTAATACCCAAAAAAAAAAAAAAAAAAGGTTAATTATCATTATCTCAAGCCCAATTGTCTGTGCAAGAAACAGGTAATTTAATTATTTGAGATTCATCTACCTGGATTAAAGCCTTAATCTGATGTCTTTGGAGCTTAACTTGGAAACTAGGATCATCAGCAAGCTGCAACAACACATCAACCATATCTTTAGACGTATTCTTCCCCCTACCATCATGCTCATCCAGCACATGCTCATAAAACCTATCAAGCTTCTTCATCACTGCCTTCATCCTCTTCCTATAACCTTGTAAATCCAAAAACCCAACCCACGGAATCGAATCTCCAATATCCAACACCCCATTTAGTAAAAACAATTCTTCAAGCATTTCCTTAAACTCTTTTGGTGTCACAATCTCACTCTCTGATTTCTCTGTGTATTTTTTCCCCAACACCATCCGGCTAATCACATTCAAACTAAGATTAGAAAAATGATCTTTCAAAATAATAGGCTTGCCACATGATTTGAACAGGCCGTTCACAAATAATTTTGTCTCTTCTATTCTGATATACTCAAATGATTCTAAACGTTTTGCACTAAACAGCTCGATTTGACACATTTTACGTGCCTGGCGCCAATATGGACCATATGGTGCCCAAACCATATCCGAATAATTGTAGGTTGTGTACTTGCCTCCAGCGGTTTTAGGCCTGGAAGCGAAGTTGTGATCATATGTTTTGAGGAAGTATCTTGCCATTTCAACTGAAGAGCCCACGACCACAGTGTATGATCCGAATCGGAGTTGCATAATCGGCCCGTATTTTTTGGCGAGAGAGTGGATGGATTGGTGCGGAAGTGAGCCGATGAGGTTTAGGTTACCGATGATGGGCCATGGGCTTGGGCCAGGTGGTAGGTTGAGTTTGCGGTGGTAGAAGAGGTTGAGACAAAAGAGGAGAGTGAAGAGTAGAGTTGGGACCAAAAGGAAGGAATTGAAAGGCCAAGAATTCTCCATTTTGAAGTGTTATTAGCGTGTTTATGTTGGCGGATGATACAAATGAAGTGGTGCAAGCACTACTTATTTATAAGCAACGAAGGAAAAGCAATAAACATATGGTTTTGATACTTCATCATTGAAGACCTCTTTCTTTTTTTTTTTTTTTTTTTTTTAATTTCCATCTTTTATTTCTTAACTGATGTGACACATATTTGTGATAATGACTCAATATAATAAATAAAAAAAAATTAATGAAAATATTAAATTTCCGAACCAATTTTACACATGTTAAATGGGGACGCTTCCCTCTAAGTATATATACTTTGTTAATTACTAGCTTTTCGAATTTAGGAGTTTAAAGAAATCAAACCCAATTTTTTTTTTTTTTTCCTATGGCGATAAATTAAGGAGTATTGTCCAAATTTCCTTCGGTTTTTGCCAAAGAAATAAAAGAAAAATCATTAGCATTTTCTGATTTGCACAGCATATAAACTTCATTGTTGTTAGAAATAATGAAATATATATATACACCTCTCTTTTAAAACATTTATAACATGGATAATATTTTTTCTTTAGTGGGTAGTTATATGTCTATTCAATCCAAAATTAAATTGAATAAAAAAAATCACATCATTATTATTGGAGACATTTAACAAAGTGGAGAGAATATAATTTTACAAAGAATAGTTTGATAGATTTATTTCTTTATTTGATTGCTTCAAGTGACAATATACCTCTCTTTTAAAACATTTATAACATGGATAATATTGTAGAAAAAGAAAAGGAGCATGTGAATCATTATTTCTAATTTTGCAAATTCATGTCATATAGAATGCATAATTAAGTTAAATAAATAGATGATAATGACACAAAGTTTGCTTTTTATATCTTTAATTGAAATAGACGTCCATTAATAATTGTATATTAATATTTATAAAAGCTTTCTTTTTATTTAGTAAAGAATCCGATCTCGTGAGTCGTGACCCCAGGGTGAAAATAAACGATACACTCTGATTAATTGAGTTAAGCCTTCTATACAACTTATATTGAACCTTGTTTAAATTACTATTGATGAGGCTAGAAAGATATCATTATTTCTTTTGATAAGTTTTAATGTATTTCTAGACCCAGTTAGATCTCTTATATTCTGTTACTTATTTGAACCTCAAATACTTCTTTGAACAGGGATCAGCTCGGAAATGCATATGTTAAAAAAGGGGGGAAAAAAAAAAAAACACTATATTTTTTTCTCCGTAACAAGAGTAAATAATTAAGAAATCAAAGTTCAAAATTTAGACCATAAGTAATATAATAATTGCAAAATATGAAACAAGTGGAACCCTAAACTTTTATCAATTAAAATAATTAAGTAGAATTTTTTTTATTTTTTTATTTTAAATCAACTTTACTTTATGTTAGTTTGATAGTTTTCCTTCTGCACAGTAGATCCTCCTCTTCACGTACGCAACAGTTCATCATCTCCGGTTCATATATTTCCCTTCAATCCCATCGTTTTCTTTTTCTCTTTCAATAACCGAGTTATTAAAACAAAAAGATTTGTAAACATTAGCTCGCAAGTTTGATTGGATTCCTTCAACAAAATATGGACTTAAAATATTTGCAACATCGCCCAAGAAATTCTTTTCATGAAATACAGTCTCTACCTCAATAAGGTATGTAGTTGCTATTGGGGTTAGGAATGTTTAACAGAAGCACCCGAGCTGTCCGGATTTTAAAACTTCCTCCCCATAATGCAATTATGATCGTGCTAATGACATTTTAATGCGAACAACACATATATATGTATAGGGGTGTAGCCAGGATTTCTAATTAGTAGGGTCAAAAGATCTAAGTAGATAAATTTACAAGAAAATATATATTGAAGTAATAAGCATAAAAAAACGTAATTTAAAAATTTAATTTTAAAAGATATACATACCAAATTATCAATTTTATAATTGTTCTTGACTGTTCATATTCTGAAAACATTGCATAATTGTTTTATTGACAATATAATTCCATCAAGCATCTCTCTTTTAATATATGTAATAAGACAATTATTTAATAATTGCTTAATTGATAATACTACCAAATATCTCTCTCTCTCAGTATAGGTAATAAAATAATAATTTAACAATTAACCTCCAAATAAGTAGTATTTCTTGATTAATTCAACTAAAGGAAGAAGTATGAGAGAAGATGAAAGGAACTAAGGAAGGGAGAAAACATGAAAAAAATACAGGTATTTTCAAATCTTTGGATTAATAAAATATAGAAGCATTTTAGTGGAGTCAATAAAATATAATTAATTTTTATTACGTTAATATAATTTTCGGTGGGATCAAAATTGTAAAATCATAATGGGTTGAAATAAGCCAAGCCACTTATTCACTTTCAACGCTAACATAATGAGATTCCATGCCACCTTGATGTTGTGGTAAAACCAGATATGATGAATTGATGAGCCAAAAATCCACCAAGGTAAGCCTCTGGAAGCCTCCGTGGGTCCTGCCATGCACTCATCAACCAAGATATGCCTCTGGAAGCCTCCGTGGGTCCTGCCAGTGGCAGACCCAGGACTTTTGTTGAGAGGGGGCCTCCATGGCTCTGCTATTGTTTGTTAACCAACTATTAAAAACTTAAAAAAAAAACCACCAAACTTTAAGCAAAGAAAATAATACAATATCAAGAAGCTAAAAGAAAATGATGCAATAACACATTACTTTCCTACTTAAATAAATCTACGAGAAGCAAAACCTTAAAAGCAAATATGTAAAATCACATCCAACTCATAAGGAAACACAAGAAAATTTTGATGTGGAAAAACCTCTTAAATGCGAAGAGAGCAAAAAATCATAAGAATCTAACAATCCACTTAAATCCAATATAATCAAAAGAGTTCACAACAACCACAATCTACCAAAAATATTTCATACAAATTTAAAGTCCAATCACAACTTTAANCGCGGCGGTAATAATAGTCGCTGTGGCGATTGTTCTTTCTGTCCAAAGCATCCGTAATCTTCAGAATTTGGTAAAGTCATCAACACAAAAATTGTAGCTCTTTGAATAAGCTTTCCAACGCCACCAGAATCGTCAAATTCAGATTACCACAGCTCAAGTTATGATCAAAACATCGAAGCATGCTCATCTTGAAGGATTTCTAGATTTTACGGTGTAATTTCGACGCGTCACAACTTTCTCGTTTCAACTCCGATTCTTGCACCGTTTGTTCCTACTCGTCACGAATTCCATCGACATCATTCTTTTTCCTTCAAATATCGGTTTGAACCTGAAAATACTCAAAATACACCCGTGATCCCGTAAAAAGTATTTATGAAAGAATTAATTCAAATTCCACACTTTAAACACATTTTCCCATAAATTACCAATTAAATCACTAACAAAATATAAACATTCAAGCTCTTATCAGTGCCCTAGAGAACTTGGATCGTCATGGTTGTTGCAACCTTTCGAGTTGATAGGTCTTTTTCCATCCCTCTTGGCCTTCCGTTCTTGACAATTATTCCGATTAAAATTTACCTGAGACTCCTCTCACCCCTCATGATACACATTTTGATTTTGATTTTCGGGGATTGTGACATGCTTGTTGTTGAGGTCTATTGGTTGTATCCCTGTAAAAATGCTTGGGCAATCAACCATTGAAGGAGTCACATTTGTGAGAGAAATTTAGTAAGAAGGGTTTGTGAGTATAGTATTATTGTTTTTTTATATTTAAGTTATATTTTCTGATATGACTCAATAAAGAAAAGGTCCACGTCTATCCATCTTGACAAGCGTGTAAAATATGAAAAACGAAAAAAAAAAAGTGTGTACGGTTTGCAAAGGTGAAGTAAAAATATAATATATGTTTTCTCTGTTTAAAAAATTATTTTATCAAATAATTGTTTTACATTACAAAACGTGAAATCAATTAAGCATGGCTTATATTTAACTGTATTAGAAAGTATATCACATGTTAAATTTTGGTCACATGTATTACATCTTGGTTGAAGCTATATTTTTTCTTTAGTGGGTTGTTATATGTCTATTCAATCCAAAATTAATTTGCAAAAGGTGTAGCTAAAAGGACAGAGCAATATCGATCCAATCGCACCTAGACAAGTATATCAATTATTTATATGTTTTTCAGATAAAGTAGATATTGAAAACAGAGAGAAGAAACATTGGTCCTAGTTTAATCTGTAAGTAGTGTTTTGTATCCCAGCTCCAAAAGTAAGAACATTTCCATACTATCCATTGAAGGATCCATCGCATCCTTCAAATCAATAGTTTGAGATTCATTCTTGTTCTCCCAAATGGCTCAGAAAAGTAAGATTTTGATCATCGGAGGAACTGGAAATATGGGAAAATTTATTGTGGAAGCAAGTGTAAAGGCCGGCCATCCAACCTTTGCACTGGTCAGGGAGACTGCCCTCTCTGATCCTGTTAAGGCAAAACTTGTTCAGAATTTCCAAAGCTTAGGCGTCACTTTGCTCTATGTATGTATTTCCATTCCCTTCAATATTATTTTTTACTACATGTTAACAAAGTAGAACACCTTAAAAGTTGGCACAAAGGCTCCTGAGACCAGAGTCCCAGGCGAATGAGGACCTGACTCGGAGCGCAGGAGATTCAGCATGAATACAGTATAATAACTATTAGTAGACCTCAAATATCACGTTGTGTAGCTTAATGTATCACATTGTTTAACTTTTATTATATTGGGAAATTGGTTTGGATGCAGGGAGATCTTGAGAATCATGAAAAGTTGGTGAAGATGCTGAAGTTAGTTGATATAGTGATGTCAGCTATTAGCCGTTCAGAGATACCAGAGCAGTTTAAGCTCATCGCTGCCATTAAAGAAGCTGGAAATATTAAGGTTGGTCTATTGACTCTATTCCTATCATATCCATTAAAATTCTCAAAACTGTTATTATTAAATGGCATAATAAATGTTTAATGAATTGGTACAGAGATTTTTCCCATCAGAGTTTGGAAGCAATGTGGATGCTGGACATCCCATTGAGCCAGCAAAATCAGGTTATGCAAGAAAGGCAAAAATTCGACGTGCTATTGAGGCCGAGGGAATTCCCTACACTTATGTTTCCTGCAACTGCACCTTTGGCTTCTTTCTTCCTACACTGGCACAACCCGGAGCCGTTGCTCCTCCCAAAGATAATATCTTGATTTATGGCAATGGCCAACCCAAAGGTAATTACAAATAAACACATATCTCCATCAACTTCTTTGGTCAATTTTCACTATGGGGTCTATGCATTTGTTTTTTAAACTGTTACAGATCTTAAAATTTACGAGGGTTTTGTGATTTATTTTCTTTTTAATTGTTGTCATTAATCATTTAGGATCATAACCTTGGGTTTCACTCAAAAAATAAGTCTGACAATTACAAAAGTCTCAATTTTTGAAAAATATGATAAAAAATCTCCAATGGTGATTAAAAATGCTGACTTTACATTGAATATTACTACCTTAAGCTTTTATTATATCACCCTTGGGTCAATAAAACTAGAAGTGCAAAAAAAATTACTCAAAAAATTGAAGTTACAGTATCCTACCCAACCATTATATACTGGTAAGTCTTTCTTTAAAAATTGTCAAGACCATATATATTCACCTTTTTTAACAATCCAGATCTAACAATGATCATAATATATTTATATCAGAACGTCTTGATTAGAAAATTGTTTTTATTGTGAACTTTATTAAAAACTTACACTATAGTGGAAGTAAATTGACAATTTTCAAAACCAAAGTTTCTATTAAAAAATTATGAAAGCAAATATCGAAAATTAAGGAAATCTACTCGTGTAATTAATAAACAGAAAAGAATTTTTTATGATATATATTATACGTGTAACGAAAATACATGAAAGCATGGCTTACAGTTGGTATTCTAATTTGGCTGCAGCAATTTTTATCAAGGAAGCTGACATAGCAAGCTACACCATCAAAGCCGTTGATGATCCAAGAACATTGAACAAGACCCTCTACCTTAGGCCTCCAAAGAATATCTACTCATTCAATGAACTTGTTGCCCTTTGGGAGAAGAAGATTGGCAAAACCCTGGAAAAAATTTATGTCACTGAGGACCAAATTATTAAGATGATCCAAGGTTATTAAGCACCCTTCCTAATTTGCTTAAATTCTGTAATTAAAAAAAAAAAAAAAAATGAATTCCTAATGAGTTTGATTTTAACCCATTATTGCAGATGCGAATATGACAGACAAAATTATGCTACTAGTGAACTATTCAATATTTATGAAGGGAGAACAAACAAATTTTGAAATCGATCCATCTTCAGGGGTGGAGGCTTCTGAGCTCTATCCTGATGTTAATTATGCCACTGTTGATGAATACCTCCATCAATTAGCTTGTTTAAGCAATTAATTGAAGTGTGTATTTATCATTATTATTTAGTGATGGTATTTGTTTGCAATCGTTATCTTATTCTACTCAATTTCTAAATGTAACAATTTAGAAATTCATAAAATATCTAAATAAACTTCGTTTCATTTTAAATGACTCTTATTATTATATTATTTCTTTCTACTCTTCATCCCTCTACTCATTTGTGTCTCTTTGCAACATTAATTTAATGATAACGAATTCATCAAGTTGTGCATAAACCAAATGAAGCTGTCGTTTAAAGCTTAAAGGCAACTAACAGATCTGTAAAAGATCAACAAAATATGAACATAGGAAAAAAAAAAAAAAAAACACAGTATTATATGCAGCAGGATAAAGACATAGATTTAAAGAGTTTTTATTTTTGATTATTTTTTAAATTGGGTTTTACATGGAAAATTAAATTATGATTTCATTTGTTCATTTAGGATCTTATATAGTCGTCGCACAATCTTAAAGGATATAATAGTAAATTACTCGTTAACTGTTGATTTGATACAAATTTTTCCACGTCATCATGCGTAAGGATTACTCGTTACTCTTGATTGGGCCTGAGTCCATTTTGTTCATGCCAATTTACTTTAAAAATGGATCTTAAGTTTTTTATCTTCATTTGTTAGATAAGTTCTCAAATCCTCGGCTGTTCATGAGCGTCTTCACAAGCTCCATTTCTTCTTATAACATTTCAATATTTACTATTAAAAACTCTTTTTAACTCGTATAAATTAAGAACAAAAAGAGTTGTTTCTTTTTACCACATTTCATTTAAATATAAATACTGTAACTTTTTTTAATTTTTTTTTAATATATTATCATTTATTTTCAAATAAATAACTTATTAGAAAAAGTTAAATTATACAACTTATATTTAAACATTTAAAATTTATAAAAAAACACCTAAATAAATTACCTAATATACTTTTATATATAATAATTATAGATATATACACAAAAGTTAAATGAGGTCTAAAATTTATTTGCTTAAAAACCCATTTAATATCTTTGCCAATATCGTTCGAAATGAAAGGTAGAATTTGGTTACAGATAGAGAGAATTTGGTGATTGAAATTTTTTTTCTTAGCATGACATAGAAACAATATTAGTACGTAAATGATCGTCTTTGGATGATTTATTTAACCATATGATATTTTATACAACAGATGTACGGATTTTCTGAGATCTAACAAAGAAAGTTTGGCACAAAAATTTTCTGTCAAATCTCAGCCAAAATACAATTTTATTGTCCTTAAAAGTTACATAAATAGATAGATTGTTTTAAAGACTATCATGTTGATACCAATATTAATTCTTAAACTCACCAAATTTTTTTCGGATGACTAGATTTGGTTCACTATTTCTAATCTAACATATTTAAGATAATTAATTATTCTAGCTCTCGTGCAATTAATAACATAAATATATAATCAATAATCAATTTTAATTTAATGATATAATTATAACTTATAATGAATATAAATATATATAATATAACTTTTTTTTATAGGATACTTTATATATGAATAATCTCCATGTAGTCATAAAAAATTCTGGTCCTTACTTGAGTCAGTTATAAATAAGAATAAACTCTACATTGTAATAAATTATAATTTTTTTAGGTTTCGTCTTAAAGAACTTGCTTCCACGTGATAATACTTATTTATATGTTGCAAAAAATATATGCTATGTTATATTAAAGGTTTATGAAATAAAATATTAATCTAAAGTTATTTGGGACAATGATTTATGCTTTTGAGTTGTTACAACATCTTTGAATTTACTTGTACGTAATAACTTGTCAGCATGGACACATTCTTATTGAAGTCAAAATATATTTTTAGGTTTTAAGCATGTTTAGAGCTTCTTGACACAAAACTTTTTGTATTTTCGTATTATAATCCTCAAGATTATCTCCAACCTCTTTTGCCAAATTGCAATAATGATTTCTTCTTTAGTTAAAACATACACAGCTTGTTACTCATTTGGATGATTGAGGAAAACATTAATATCTATTCGATCAGTGTATACTTTACCTCTATACCACTTGCACTAAGGTAAATTAAGTCCAAATAGTAAAATTTGTAACTACAAATCTATTAAGTTATAATCTCTTTATAGTAATAAAATTAGCTTGGTCCTGCCATTATGACTATAGAGAGGTTCCAATGTATTAGTAAAATACAAATATATAAACTTTTATTTATATATTACTAATTTTAAAAAACCAAACAAATGACATGTCCTTATAATTATTAATTATGAGATATCTGCAAAAAACCCCAAATGTTTGTCAATTTTATAGCACCTGGCACTTTTTGAAATGCATGGGTAGCCCCATTTCCGTTAATTTTGTTAGTTATCTTTAATAGATAGCAAAGTGTTTTGAAATTCTTTAACTTTAGGAAGGGCATTTTTGAATTTTCCATTATTTACACAAACCCTAACTTGTATAATTTTTTCTCCTATTACTTCTTTCTCTTTCATTTTTTATTTCTTTTTCCTTCATTCTCTCTCCCTCGGCCTCACTCTCTTTTCTTCTTCTCCACCTCGGTCTCCGTCTCTCTTCTCCTTCGGATCTAGCTATCGCTTGTCGTGGAAGGCTACCGGACTAGACCAGGTTACGACGGCCTTCAATGACAAAATGTTTTTGAAATTCTCTAACTTCTTTTCTTCATATTTGGTTTTTGTCTTTGGTTAGATAGGGTTTCATGTTGGAAGAGTTTTTGGTATTGGGTTGATTTTCTTATAGAGATAAAAGAGTTTGATTTGTTGATGAAGATGGAAGATTTGTGGATGGTGGTCTATTGTATTTTTTGATAACATTGAAAACACACTATGCTAAGTTGGCATCCCACCTAATAACTTAAGCTTGTAGACCAATAAGCCCCTCACATTAAACTTGGAATATTTTTTTCATTTTATTTATTTAGTTTGTATATGGGGATTTGAACTTGAGACATTTGACTCTAATACCATGTTAGAGCTCTTCAAAGCACTCTTTATATGACCCAAACTCTTTATCATAAAGAGTTTATCCATAGAAACAAGAGTCCAACAAACTCTTTATTCTTTAAATATAAATTAAAGAGTAAGTTTCGCTCTCCACATTTAGAGAGTCAAATTTCACTCTCTATCCTAATTTCAAATAATAAATTGCAAGTTTATATGCATTTTATTTATGATTTATATTAGGAAATGATTCGGTTGCGTAACGGAAAACATAAATTTTACAACAATGGATCGTTCCTTAGAACCCAAAATCAAGGCACATAAATTACAGTTTATATATATTACAAGAATCTGCAGAAAAATAAACATGAGTTTAGATTCATTCCCACGTTAGAGGCTCCACCAATATTGTCTCTGAACGTGTTTGCTACCGATCCAAGTGTAGGATCGAACCGTAGAAGTCCACATGAAGACAATCACAAAGAACCAAGGAGGGATTTGCTAGATCATCCTTGGCCTTAAGAAATCAAGAAGAAAAGGAAATATTTGATTTTTCAATCAAACAGCGAAAGTGGCGTGGGTGTGTTGTGTGTTTTCCTTTTAATCAAATGAACTAATAAAAATCACCACTTTAATTTCCCACACACATTCTCTTTTATAGGCAAACTAAGTTGCCCTATTCCCACATGGAATGGGCTTGGGCTCCAACCCAAAGATATGATAAGGTCATGTTTAAATGATGCCAATGTTTTACATTAGAACCTACAATTTTGATGACTATTTTAAGTCTTTTTTTTTTTTTTCTTGTGAAATGATTATATTGTTATCAAATCGTTAATGATACTATTGTTTTCCTTTGAGACTAAAATTTTGATAAAGCACTAGTTTTTAGGTTTTCTTTCATAGTGGTTATGATATTAAATCATGTTTAATGATGCCAATGTTTGGGGCCTCTCTTGTCGTTGGCTCGTAATCTAGGATCACCCTATGGTTCTTGGGCATGTCAGTGTCGCTCCCTTTGTAAATCATTATTCATATGTCTTGTTTATCTATCGTTGAAGCTTAACTATCCCTCGGGTTCGGGTTGTTGCGGCTACTGTTACAGACCTTAGTGAGTGGGAATGAGATCACCTTCATTGTTGGTGCCCTAGAGAACTTGGATCGTCATGGTTGTTGCAACCTTTCGAGTTGATAGGTCTTTTTCCATCCTCTTGGCCTTCCGTTCTTGACAATTATCCCGATTAAAATTTACCTGAGACCTCTCACCCTCATGATACACATTTGATTTTGATTTCGGGGATCGTAAAATGCTGTTGTTGAGGTCTATTCACTAACTCTCTCTCAAGCAATTAGCAAAATTAACCTTAAACAACAACCCAAGATATCTTAAATTGGATTTAGGAGCTAAGAGATCATTAAGCTCTATGGAATTTACCGGAGCCTCACAGATTGCGATAACTATCTCTAGGTTCGCTCAATCTATGGTTTTATACCTAAGACAAATCAGGTTTATCTCTCGATCTCAACCTAACCCTTGATATCATTCAACCCTCGGGCCCTTGAGAATTGAAAGCATTATGCACAGTAAAAAACTTAGAATTTAAACTCAATAAGAATTAACAACAATTTAAGTCACACATATTCATAAATTGGATACATCTTAGCCAGAAAAGGAAGTTAGTTCATAATGAAAATAACAAAACCCATCATTCTTATCAATGACATCAATTCAAGAAAAAGATAAGCTTCTCTAATCGGTGAACGAGAGGCTTCAGGATCCCGATCTCAACTTGATAGTCGTCTTCTTCTTCAAAAGTCCTTTTACTTCTTAAAGACCCTTTTTATATCCCTAGGGTCTTGTCGTGCTTAGGAAAAAGATTGAAAACTTAGTCCATTCAGGTTCGGATTAGGGTAATGAATTAAAACACACCGTGATATCGCCGCGGCGGTAATAATAGTCGCTGTGGCGATTGTTCTTTCTGTCCAAAGCATCCGTAATCTTCAGAATTTGGTAAAGTTCATCAACACAAAAATTGTAGCTCTTGAATAAGCTTTCCAACGCCACCAGAATCGTCAAATTCAGATTACCACAGCTCAAGTTATGATCAAAACATCGAAGCATGCTCATCTTGAAGGATTTCTAGATTTTACGGTGTAATTTCGACGCGTCACAACTT